GTAAATGGATGGAGTTGGAGAATATCATGCTAAATGAAATAAGCCAGTCACAAAAAAACAAAGGCAGAATGTTCTCTCTGATAAGTGGACACTGATCCATAATGGGGGGGCAAGGGCATGGGAAGAATGGAAGAACTTTGGATTGGGCAAAGAGGAGGGACAGGAGGGGAGAGGGCATGGGTGCAGGAAAGATGGTGGAATGAGTTACTCTAGGTACATGTATGATTGCACACATGGTGCGACTCTACATTGTGTATGACCTGAGAAATGAAAAGTTGTGCTCCATTTGTGTACAATGAAATGAAATGCATTCTGTTGTCATGTATAACTGATTAGAACAAATGTTTTTTTTTTAAAAAAAGAGTTTTCAAGGGGAAAGCATGTTTACAGAAGTGAAGTGCAAAAGAGGTAAGCTGGCTCTTCTTATAAGGCCTTCTGCAATGGGAGCTTAGGTTTTATGCAGCGGCTTGCATGTCTGGATCCCCACTAAGTGCCTTTTATGAGCTCCTATACCATGTTTTCAACCATGCTGAGCCAGCACTTGCAAGTTGCAAAGGTTCTTAGAACACAACTCATTATCCCTGCTCCACATTCTGCTTTTTGTCCATCATAATAAAACCAGAATTCTGAGCATGAACTCAAATTGCTAAACATTTCAACTAAATATATTTTAAAATCCATCCCAATAGATGAGTATATAAGTTTGTGTTCAAAATTGAAAAATAAAAACAACAAATATGTTCATACAGACACATTTTTCCATRTCCTCTGCCTTAAAACCCAGACTCTGTTAAGGAAGACAGGTTTCATTTATCCTGCAGTATGCTCCCTTGAATATTTGGGATTATGGTTCATTTTCCCCTTGTTCTCAATTATATATTACCATGAARTATCATTATCAGATAAAAAAATTGTTACATATATTTCTATGTATTTTTGGTCTAGTAAAATACCCTCTCTCACTTTCCACAYTTCTCCTTACCAAACATGCTTTGTTTTAAAGAACTTGTAAGTGGGAGGTGTGAGGGATTTAAATACCATGTACCAGAAGTTAGAAAATATGATACTTGGAATAAAGTCTTGAAGAACTACTTGGTGACTGCTCCTCCCGCCATTGTATTCTATCATTCCTCCACTGAGCTAGAAATTGTACCAAGTTCTAGGAATGTAAAATTAGAAGGAGATCACTCTTAATATAAAGAATACAGAGTCTTTTGAAGAGCCAGCATAAAAATAATCATAAAAAACATAACCACAGTATTTCAGGACTGCATAAACTATGCTGAATCTTTTCTGTCCACAAGAGTCAGAAAAACTCTATGGATCAACTTCTCTCTGACCTGTAAACTGGAAAATGGGTACAAGATACTCAGGCAGTCAAGAAGGAGCTCTGTTCAGATATAGGAAAGAGTGTTTGCAAGGGTACAATGAGCAATTTTATTCAGGGAAATAGGAGAAGTTCAACTGTACCAGAACCTAAAGAGCTGGAGTGAATGTGGACTTTGTAGCCACATTTCTACCCAGAGAARTATTCATAAAGAGCTTCATATAGTATGTGAAGTATCATGGTCACAGTCACCTGGTGGCAATATGGAAGCAGCGAGGTTAGAGGCCAACACACCAATGACAAGGCCTCATATCGTTTCCTAGGTAACAGAGGATGAGGATCTGYGCCAAAGCAGAGACAGTGAGGAGAGAAGCAGCTGAACCACGTGAGCACATGCATGGGGAATGGGATGCTGACAGCCCTTTTGGTAAATTGCTTTGGTTAAAGGGACTGCTCCTCCTTGTCAAGCGTGTGGCCTCAGTGAAATGATGTGATTGTCCAACGACACGGTTGCAATGAAAATGGGCAGAAGACCTGTCTCCCTGCCACAACTTAGATGACTCCGGGGCGGTCAGGCTTTGGAGCTCCTCGTAGGGCCAGCAAGGCTTTTGTGGAGGCTGTAGCACAGCCCAACTCTTTGCTGTGCCCAGTCCCACTTCCTGTGTTTCACAGCCATCCACGTTGACTGCAGGGCATTTTCCAGTAACTCCTCTGCACATGCCGATCTCCCTCTGTCTCCCCCACAGACCAGTTGTGTCAAGGCAGTGGAGTAGGTTGCAGATAAGTACCCAGAGACCATGAAAGACATATGGTTTATTGGAGAAAGCRTAGAGGAGGTCAGAGASYGCTTCAAGAAGAGTTCRGTGGCAGCAGGCTGACAGCACCTCTGTCCCTCCAGGGTTTCACCAAGAGTGCCTCTTCTCCCTCAGGTGCCAGTTGCCCTCAGTTTCACACCTGTCCCCACTCAGAGAGGGGTTTTATATGTTAGCTGCAGAAGCAGTGACATCATGGGTCTCAGCTTGCTTGTTTGACTGACCACAATCCCAAGGAGCAACCTTCCTGATGTATATGCAAGAGAGTAGCTTTCTAGAATGACACTATCTCRCCTTAGCTCCCAGTGCACATAAGAAAAATTCATGTCCTTCAAGATGATTCRTATCTGGACTTTCCAGCCCAGGCTTGCTCTCATTGTTCCCCTTTGCTTGCCTAGGGYTTTGACCACAGAAAGGATCATTCAAGGGCATGGTGTCCTTTTACTGTGTCCTTTGCTTTAGGGACAATATACCCTGTAAAGTCAGTTTTGTGAGAACCCAGTCTATGATGATGTATGCTATAAAAATGATAGTTTTGGAAACTGATTTAATGTGAAAGCTAAGAGAAAAGTGGGAAGGGATATAAATCCCCCAAAGATAAACTTAACATAACCCTTTTTACGTTAATTTTTTTAAATTTGGATTCATCAGGACTTGTGCTGTGGAAAGGCATATGTAAAAAGTACATAAGCCAAAGGAACTTTGGAAGGATATTCTAACTGGACAATGGAAAGGTCCTGACCCAGTGATTGTCTGGAGTCCGGAGTCTGTTTGTGTATTTCCATAGGGAGAACAGCAGCCGATTTGGATTCCAGAGAGACTAACTAAAGCGATTTCTACAGACCAAAAAGAAGATGATTTGGCTCAAATCCATAACAGCTGATATCCAGAACCCCAGTTTAACTATCCTTACATCTGCAATAATGGTTCTCCTACACCTGGAGGCTAATGAGCACCATTAAGGCCTATTTCAAATGTAAAAAACCTTGAGGCTCACTTGTGGGAATGCCTTCAAACCCATATGCAAGTTACAAGAAGAAGGAATTACAGCTACCATCATCAGAGCTGTTGCTGTTTCTGCTGCTGCTACTGCAGTTTCAGTGATAGCTATCACACAAACTGTACAAACTGTTGCATCAATATTTACTTCAAGAAGAAATAGATACATTAATGGATTCCTTTGCTTTAATCTGCTTGCGGAACTTACCTGGACTGTGTATCACTTATATGCATTATGAACCGATAGAACAAATTGTAATAGTACCAGGGTATCATTGCTGACAGTGTCATCTGTAGTACAGTTTTTCCAGGGGTTTCTCACTTGCAGCTGTCAATGGCTTGATATCGTGGCATTTTGTATCCTCCTCCTCCTGCTTGTAAYAGGTTGTTTATGGTGTTTGTGTATGGTGTATGTTGTTTATGGTGTTTGGTCGTTATCCACAAGTATGGCTAAGTATGTTGGGCGGGTAGTCAAAGACGGGTAAGATCCAATTGCAATGGTACCAACCTAAGACAGGAGGCTGACGATTTGAGGTCAGACCATCCAATGATGGGTAAGGACCATATGTAGTATTGGACAACCTAAAACAGGCACGGTCCCTAAACCACATACATGTTGTTTAATAAAATAAAAGGGGGGATATGTTGAGGGCCGCGAATCAAGTCAAGATGGTGCCTGGCAGTTTGCCAGGAGGAGTGGTTTGTGAGGCAACGCCACCGAGCCATTAAGATGGTGGAGATTCCTTATTGGCTGAATGCTGTATCTGGATGATGCTAATTGAGTCAAGCTGTGTGTAATCAGTTAGGCATATATACCGCTCTTGTTCCGTAATAAAGCAGTTCCCGTTTCAACCTTCAAATTGCTTGTCACCTCCTGGTTATTTGCCCAGCCAGACTGCGGCAGAAAMGAAGAGCCTAGAATGAGTGTTCCATTCACTGAGACAGAAATACAGTGTAACCAAAATGGGTGCACGTAGGGTTGAAGAGATGATAAATTCAGCCATGAATTCTTTGAGTCACCTATGGAGCATCCAACTCTGAGTGTCCAGTGGACATCAGTTAATATGACAATGGATGAAAAAGTTGAGGGGAAAATATTTATACTGAAAACAAAAAGAGAACAGATGGAAAATTCTAGAAAATATACTAGAAATATCCAGGAGCTAATGAAAATTAGTAGTTAATATTTTATGAGACAAGAATTCCTACTATAGCTGAGAAGATTGAAGGAAAGTGTATGGACAGCAGGGAGGAAACTCAGGAAAAAAAACTTTTTTATTTTAAGGGAGAAAGTAGATGAGACAGATCCCATAAAAGACTAATAGAAATAAAAGGGTGACATTATTTTATATGAGAATAGGTAGAAAGTGAAAAAAGTTAAATACTATTTGCACAGTCACCAAGTCCTGTGGTTCTTTTGCTGAATAATCCAGGTTCATGGGCAAGAAGAGAAAGCACATGAGGAAAGACTCTTAGAACTGTGCTCTGGGCTTTATCCTGTGCTTCTGTGCCTGGACTCACTAACCCCCAGGAGGGACCTCACTGCAGGGGAGATGGGGGTTCATTCCAGTGTCTGGATAGAAAGAGCATCTCCAAGTTCCTGGCTTTGGTCCCATGTGGGCCAAGGGAATTCTTCTGAAATTCAACAAATCCAGATAATAATACAGATAACAATTAAAAGTCTACCTGGTCTTTCAGACTAAAATTAATCTCATTGGAGATTATGGTGTGGAGCAGTAGATGAAGAATTACTTTAATAGACCATGGTCTCTACCACTTCACCTTCTGAATCAGATTTAATAATAATTAAACTTGGAGGAAAGCTTTAGAAAGCAAATAGTTCTCAGTATAAGGCAAAAAGTCTAGAGGTGAATGGTGAAGCTGCGCTCAGAGGACGCAGGACTGAGAAAGGGCACACAAGGCAAAGGGACTGTCAGCGGGAACAGAAYGGAGTGGGAGATGTTGCAGGGTGAATAGAGACCACAACAAAAGGATCAGAGAAACCACATTGTATTTGAGCTCCTAAGAAATGCTCAAGTTGCAAATCAGGAGCCATATCAAATGCCTGGGTTCATTCCCCTGGAAGGTCACAAGTGGATAACCCCTCTAGAGTAGATAGATAGAATAGGCAGTGAAGACAGATCCAGTGCAGCCTGTGGCTTCAGAGTCATTATCTCACCTGGTGACATTGACCCAAAGTGGTCCTAAGCTCAATTGGGGGCTCACACTCAATAGGACCATTCAAGCTCAGAGTATCCCACAGCCCACAATCAGGAAGGCCTCTGTGCTCTTCTGACCAAATCACTCACCCATGAGCCTGTCTTTCTGTGCAGAGAGCAGGTGGCCCAGACACACTGTGTAAAGGAGAGCTGGCACAGAAGTAAAGAGCTGTCTGGTTGGGGGTGGCAGTCTCTACAGTCAGGAAGAATTTAGGCTTCTCTGTCCGAGAGGCACTGTACCCATTGGAGAACTCTCCTTGGTTGATGTCTTTGACACCAATGGAGAAGTAGATCAGCCGTAGACCCTGCCCTGGATCTTGTCGGTACCAGTACATTCGGTCATGACCCTTAGTCTGAGAACATTCCAGCACAGTGCTCTTTCCTGTCTTTGTGATCCTTTTCCTTGGGGTCTGAGTAACGCCAGAATCCATGGACCCTGCGGGGAGGGGAGGGGGGAAGAAAGACAGAAGCTGGAGACAGCTAAGGAAGGTCATCTTGCCGCCGCAGTCAGCTTCATCCAGGACCTGGGCAATTTAATGCAGGGATTTCCTCATCTCTTTCCCAAACTTACCTGTTCCCAGGAAACATAAAAACACACAGGAGAGCACTGTGTAGGCCATGGCACGGGGAGGYAGGAAGGAGGTGTGTCGAGCTCTGAGCACTGGGGAGACAAGGCCTGGCAACAGGAAATGGGAAGGATTCAGGAAGTGACATCATCCTCCTCCCACTTGACTAGCCTCAGGGCAAGGTGCAGCCACACCCCTGCCCAGCAGGACCCAGCCCTCCACTTTCCTCCTTTCTGCCTCAGGCAGAGGGTGCTTTGGATTAAGTATTTAAACCTTAGTGGGAGAAGACAGATCCAATGCAGCCTGTGGCTTCAGAGTCATTATCTCACCTGGTGACAGGTGAGATATTTTTCTACTGATTCTTCTTTTCCAGGCTCCTCACTGACAATTCCAGAGCTGTCTTTCTCCCTCTCCCCATGGTGTAGCTATTTCAGTTGTCCAGGGAAGCATCCTCCTCCTGATATGACAGACTCTTAAAGGAATCTGGTCTTGCTGGAATGTTACCACGACATTTCCACCCTCAACCCCCATTTATTCATTTGTTCTCAGTTCTAGGCAAACTATGAAATTTAAATAAGTTCACTAAAATTCAAGACTTTTTATTTGTTTGTTTAAAGAGGGCAGAGTTACTAACTTCGTTCCAAATGAGGGTGATTCTAAGAGGAAAGTTGATAGTATTGAGCTCATACATTAAAAGAACAGAAAGATACCAAATTGATCCTGATTTTAGTGACTCCTGCTTCTCTGGTAAATGTTTCCTGGGTGCAGATCTTTACTGAAAATATTGGCCGACTGTAGGCAGGTGTGTGTTTAATGTGGCTTTCAAAGAAATTCACCTTCACTCATGATTTGAAATAACTGAAAATAGGCTAATAAAAGGTAATTTTATGATAACATAAAATATTACAATTTTTAGGAGGAAAATGTTCCACATTTCAATAAAATAAATTGCCAGTAAATCCCAGCTGCAGAGAGAGTGTGAAATCTTGTCTGACTGAAGAAACAGTTGGCTCCTTGCTGCTTCAGGTGTGTGTCTTGGTTTTCCCTGGTGGCAGCCTACCCTAGTTAGTCCTCCTGCACATCAAGTTCACAGTCTTTTTTGGTGGGGATGGGGTTGGGGGGAGGGAGATTGAACTCAGGGTCAAACCACTGAACCACATCCCCAGGACCTCCCCTCACCTTTAAAATATTTTATTTTGAGACATGGTCTCTCTAAGTCCTTAGGGCCTTGCTACGTTGCTGAGGTTGGACTTGAGCTGTCTAACTTCCTGCCTCAGCCTCCAGAGCAGCTGGGATTATATAACAGTCTTCTTTATTTATTTTGAAGTTTTTAATTTATTTTATTTTTGATTGACAGACAATATTTAATGAGATGCTTTGATCTCTATAGACATGGGACAGTAATCAAATTATGCTATCTGTGTTCTAAGAAAATTTTACCTATTCTTAGGTCAGGATAATTACTTTAAGTGTTCCTCATTTCTGCATCATGAACACATTCAAAAGCCTCTCTTATTTGGAAGTACACGTTGTATGAATGATGTTAACTGCATTCAACTGACTGTGTGATATCGCCATCCAACCTAGCTGGTGACCTGTGCTGAGTTCACAAACTCTGACTACTTCAACAACTAAGAAAATGGCAAAGGAAGCACGCAACACACAGAAGTACCTTTTCAAAATCCAGGATGGCTCTCTGACTTTAGGGGTCTGTGGAAAGAGAGAGAGCCACCTGAATTCTTTATTCTTGCATAGGGGAGAGACACAAAAGGGGAGTTCCATGGAATGTTCTCTCCTATAAGGCAAAGGGTCAGGTTTCAGGGGGTTGAGTCTAGGATGTCTGGTGGTCAGTAGATTGACTGGCATCTTGGAAGGCCACCCCCATCCCATGTGCTGTGTGATGATCAAAGGCAGAGCAACTGAAAGGGACACACACATGCACAGCTCAGACAGAGCAGCATCGTCAGTCCAGTCCGCTTTGTGCACTCAAAATGCTCACAGCTCACACACAACCCATGGCTGGCTTGTCACATCTCCACATTCCCATCGCTCAAAGCTAGGGGGCGCTCAGCTCCTATGGGCAGCTTCCGACAGCGACATAGAACAAAAGAATTTATTCTTCCTTTCTAACTGTAACTTTGTCCCCATTGGCAAACCACTCCTCATTTCCCTTACACTTCTTTTAAGATATTTTTATGTTTCATTCTAAACATTTCAAACATACACACAGTGGACACAATAAACGAAGGGACCACCACATACCTCCATTACCCAGACTCTATAATCACCCACTTGTGGCCTCACTTGCCTAGGTACCYCATTCCTTCTCCCTCTCCTGTGTTGCATTGAAGTCACAGCTTTATTTAGAAGTGCTGAGCACACTTCACAGCATCTGCACACATTCCATATGGTATCTTCCAGTGACCTCTCCCTTCTTCCCTCTTAGTGTCTTCTACAAACAACTCCAAGAGAAACATGGATTTACTCCAGTGAATTGCTTTTCCAGGGTTTGATTAATACAGGATAATGATAATGAGGACTATTATTTTTGGTTTGCCCTTAGTGTAAAAAATGGCTTTGTCCCTACGTGCAAACTAAACTAAAGGTGCTGTGTGGCTGCCCCCTGCTGTRTGGAGTGGTGTGGGTGAAAGTGAGATTGGGGAGCTGTTCTGGGAGATCACAACAGATGCGAGAACAGAGGACTCAGGTCTGGTGGGTGAGAGGCCATCCTTCAGCCACTCTGGACAGATGCATGCAAGGAGAAGCAGAAATCATTCTGGGAGCAGGATCAATGGCCAAGGGGGAGAGAGATGGTTAGCAGAGGAACGGGTGGAGAAGACATGGGGTAGGATCAGATGGGCATGGAATTGAAAAAGACCCCAATTTATGGACAACCAAGAGAGTTTTAAATGGCAACGGCCAATATTTCTCCTCCTCTGGGTTCATATGGCCCTGGAATCACATTTATAATCCATACATATTCCCTCTGACTGTCCTCCACCACAGGCAGAGGGCACACTGCTCCGTCTTATCCAGCATCATATCCGTTGACAACTGTTTGTTGTGTGTGGAGGAGATCCTAAGGACTCTGGACACTCCCTTCCCCTCATGAGTGATTTCTCTATGTAGCACATTCACCAGCACATAGGATGCCAATGGAGAAATGATTATTTTACCCCTGGTGTGTGATTTCTGTGTCTAAGAAAATTCGGCCTATTCTCAACTCACAAGTTTTTTTTTTTTTATTTTTCTTCTAGAATATTTATAGTTTAGTGTTTTACAATTAGGTCTATGACATATCTCATTTATTTTCATTTAGGATATTGGTTAAGAGTCTAGGTTCTTCTTCCTCTCCTCCTCCTCCTCCTCCTCCTCCTCCTCCTCCTCCTTTTGTTCATCCATTGTTCCAACATCATTTGTTGAGAGGTACCATCTCAATGTAGTGAAACTTCCAATCCATAAACATAATATGTTTCTTCATTTATAAATGTTTTCTTTAATTTTCCCTAGCCATGTTTTGTAGTTTTTCACTAAATATCTTTTGCTGAATTTATTGTTAGTTTGTTATTGATACTATTGTAAATATTATTATTTTATGGAGTTTATTTTAAAGTTGTATGTAGCTAGTAAATAAAAAATGATTTTTAAAAATACTGACCCTGTGTCTTGTGATCTTGCTGAATTCACTATTTACAATTGTTCTTCATCAATTTCTTATTTTTCTATATAAAATCATATAATCTATAGATAGTGATACTTCTTCCTTTTCAATATTTTAAAATTTTCTCCCATTCCTGTTGCTTTAGCACACTGGATAAAATGTGCAATATAATGTTGAATAATAGCAGTGAGAAAACATCACAGCTCACTTCCTATTATGGAAGAAAAGTGCTCCACATTTATTATTAAAAAGGACTTTAGCTATAAAGCTTTTGTAAGTAACTTCCATCAGACTGGGAAAGCTGTAGTAACATTTTGCCAAGTGTTTTCGAGTAAGTACTAGATTTTGCAAAATGTTTTCTCTGAAATGGTCAAATGGCGGTTCTTCATTATTCTACACTGGTTTCTGCCTGTGAAACCATTGTTTCTCCTGTACTTTTGGTGATTTTTTCATTATCATTAAATACATATTTATGTATAAATATACACATGTGCAAACCCATACGTGTATACATACATATTTGAAATTGACCAGTTTAGTGTGTTGTGAAGGATTTTTTTTATCATTAATCATAATGTTGTTCTGGAGAATTTTATCAGTTTTTTGCATTAGGGTTTTGCTGGATTCATATAATACATTGTGAAGCATTTCTTCCTCTCCTAAATTCTGAAAAAGTTTATGGAAAATTGATATTTTTCCCTTAAGATTTTATAGAATTTATCAAGAAACGAATCTGGGTTTGTAGTTCCCTTTGAGAAAATCTGTTTTTAATGTTTCCATTTGTGCACTACAGTTATACACAATGTGAGGGTTTAATTTGACATAGTCACTTATACATGGAATATAATTTGCTCTACTTCAGTCCCAAATACTTCCTATTTCCTTCCCTCTTACCTCTCTTATTTTCTCTTTTTCACTCTACTGATCTTCCTTCTATTTAGTTACAGTTTTTAACTGGTGCTTCATAGATAAACATAAAGGTGAACTCACTATAGTATATTTATATTCAAATTTGACCTAATTTGGTGAATTTCATTCCACCTTTCCTCACTTTCCTTTCTCTCCCTCTATCCTCTTCCTCTACTGCATGGTTCTCCCATCTATTTTCATGGGATTTTCATCCCCTCTTTTCACTAATTTTTCTCTGGCTTCCATATATGAGASAAGACATTCAATCCTTGATTTTCAGGGTCTTGCTTATTTCATTCAGCATTATATTCTCCAGTTCCATCCATTTACCAGCAAATGTCATAGYTTTATTCTTCTTTACGGATGAGCTATACTCCCTTGTGCACATATATCACATTTTCTGTAACCATTTGGTTCCATAACTTGGCTATTGTGAATTTCACTGCTATAAACATTGGTAGGCATATATCAATATAGGATGCTGATGTTAGTTCTTTAGGATAAATACCAAGGAGTAGGATAGCTGATCATATGGTGGTTCTATTTCTAATCTTGTGAGGAATCTTTATACTGCTTTCCAAAGTGGTTATACTAATTTAAATCCCATCAACAAAGTATGAGTGTACATTTCCCCCATATCTTTGCCTGCAATTATTCTTATTTGTATTATTTCTTTATTTTTAAAATACCTTATTTATTTATTTATTTATTTATTTATTTATTTATTTATTGATTGTGGTCTTGAGGATTGAACCCAGCGCCTCATGCATGCTGGGCAAGGGCCCCAGCTCCAGCCATTATTTATATTTTTAAAATGTGATTATTTCCAATCCTTAAGAAAATACCATTCCTTCAGAAAATTCTTTATGAACAAAAAGCCAAGAAAAACTAGAGTAATAACTTATGCCAAACACTATACATCTGATATAATAAACTTTAAAAAACACTAACATAGGCAACGTAAATATAGAATGCTTTAAGATATTTCTATTGTCATAGCTAAAACTTAAATTATATAAAGACAGATATAAATAAAGCATTTCCTAGTGTGTTATGTCTCATATTATAGTACATATTTATTTCTGTGAAATTAAAATAGGGACGAATAYCACAGACATCTTGCCTAGCAGTTCAAATATTCAAAGGGCCACATGATTTTTTTGAAAGTACAGTAGGAATTTGAAGTTACTATTTATATCTGTACCTTCCTATATTTTGAGRACATGCACTGTCCCTACTGCAAGAAAAGAAAAGAAAAATATACTAAGGAAAAAACAAGAATCGGTTTGTTTATTAAAATCACACTCAATCCTCAGCAAAGGCAAGAAAAACAATTAGAGAGTGTTTTATATCCTTGGCCTTTTGTATTGATACATAAACTTCAAGGAGGAAGGAAATTAATTGTCTATCACAAAATGCAGATATATATATATCAAAGGAAAGTGTAATATAATCAAGGAACTTTCATATCAGAAAGGATTTTATTTACTTTGAAACACCCTTATTACCTCCTTTACATTTTCGTTTCTCAAATTGTTCMGATAATGTTCTGTGTACAATCTAAGACCATTCATTAGAAATATAGATTTTTAAAAAAGACACTTAGAAAGTTAATATATCAACGTGAACATAGTGGCATGAAAAAGGAAATGAAAAAATAAATGTATACATATTTCCTAAATGTTATTATTTGTATTCTTGATGATTGCCATTCTAAGTGAAGTGAAATGAAATCAATGTAGTTTTGATTTTCATTTGCCTGATTGCTAAGGATGTWGAASAGTTTTTCATATATATGTTGGCTATTTGTATTTGATGTTTTTGCGCATTCATTGGTTGGGTTATTTGTTTTCATGGTGTTATATTTTGGRGTTCTTTATATATATTCTGGATATTAATCCCCTGTTGGAGGGGTAGCTGGCAAAGCTTTCTCCCATTCTGTGGACTCTCTTCATGTCTCCTCTGCTGTGGAGATCAGTTTTAATTTGAGACCATATAAAGTTCTTCGCCTTTCTTATTTCATCTTGAGTGAGTTTGGTAAATTGTGTTTTTCAAATAATTCCATTTCTATTTCATCCACATAGAATTTATTGTCATATACCAATTTATGATACTCTTCCAACATATTAATATCTATTGCAGCTATATTCTCTCATTCCTTATCGATATAGTAATTCCACCCTTTTGATTGTTATGGGTTAATCAATTTTATCAACAGACGAGATTATGACCCTATTTTCCTCTAAGTCCTTGAGTGTATTTTTACAATGGCTGCTTAAAGATCCCCACCTGAAATTTCCAGCATCTGTTATTTCATGGTTGATTTCTATTGCCCATTTTTTCCATGTATGGGTTATATTTTCCTGTTTCTTACTACATCTACTATTTTTTTTTTAAAAATTGAAGTAGCCATATTTATTCATATTCAGTCCTTATTTATTCTGCTCTTGCCATTTGGAGGCACAGATGGAGTGGACAGTAAGTGGTATTTTGTCTTGTAGTAAGTAAGGAGAGCCCATAGAGGTGGAAGCCATCTATAGCCATGGCTCAGGCTGTCACCACTGATGCCTCTTCTTTCCCAGTGCATCTCAGGAATGTGAAGGTCTTGAAGCATCTCAGCCAGACCCATTTGAGATTCTCCCTCTTGTCTGTGTCACTTTCCACAGAGATAGATGTTGACATTTGTTGACATTTTCCCAACTGTCTCATCTTCTTCAAGTTCCTCAAGGAAATCTTGGTGTTGCCTTTCCTTGTTAGTGTTCGTGTTGTCTCTTTCTGTTGGAGGCACTTTCAATTTCCAGTTTCTRTGATGCTGACATTTGGTATGGCCAAGCTCTTGTTGATTAATACCACATCTGGAAATGCTATCCAAGTTTATTTTGTTGACATGCTAATCATTTGAGCGACAGTTGGTCAAATCAAATCTTCAACACCACGTTTCCAGGATTTAGAGGATGTCCCGAATGAGAATTTCAAAAACACTGTTTCTGTGTATCATTTCAGGTGTTTTTTGTGTTCCAACTTTTCTTGAGGATGTGTTTTTTCCACATTATTCCAGCACCAGCACTACAGGTTGATTTCAGTTGCTGCATTCTCTCACAATAACCTCTTCTACCCGTTTGAAGTAACAAACTTTGAAATGGCAATTCCAAAACCAGCTGAAATTCCATGTAATGTAATTGGAAGTTTTTTAGTCATTTTTAGTCAGTTTTTAGTGAATGGACACAATTTTGCAAGCATCTGTGGAATGAAAATGGATCAGCTGTCAGACCAAGAAATTAATGGGATTGGTGATTTCAGTGGATGGAATCTAGCCATAAAAAAGATAATGTCTAGGCAAATATTAAGTCTTTAAGAAAATATGTAAAGTGTTACTGTCTCCTTCTTGTAGCAGGCAGCAAAATCCAATTAGAAAAAAGAAAAGGAAAAAGTTTAATTTGAATCAAGTTGGCCAAAAGCACAACTAAAGGGAATAATTTTTTTCTCTGAGCATTTCTGAATGAGAACTTCTGTTTTAGGGGTGAAAGTAGTTTGAGGGGCAGCACTGACTGGAAACTTCCATGGTGCTCAAAGATGTGAGTTATAATGGAGGAGCTTGCTCTGGATGCCTAGGGATATGGCAGAGAGAGGTCTGATTCAGATAGTGGAGTTAATTAACATGCACCCATTCAGGAAGAGGTCATGTGCTTCCCCCATGCCCACTGGCTCTTTGAAATCTGACTGAGACTATGGGTGGCGCCATATTAGGAGGTGACATTTTCAATGTCTAAAATAAAAAGGGACTATTTAATACCTAGTATAAAATCATTGAGTAAACTATAGAGCTCCCAATAAAAATGGTCTAAAGATGAACAAGCCATTCTGAGAACAGAAATGCGAGATCAACATCACATGAAAAAGTGGCCAAACTCCTTAGTGATCAGAAAAATCAATTAAGAAAGGGAAAGAGAAAGTAAGAGAATAATCTAGATTTCTAGATTGATAGCACTGTTCATTTTCAGGATGCTGCTGATTATTAGGAATAGTGGTATAATATCTCCCTCTCATTAAATTCTTACTTTTATTTCTTTTACTTTAAATATTTACCTGCATCTTAATGATAAATACTGATGATGTTTTGGGAGAAAGCAAGAGAGATTGGGATCCCCTAAATGTACTCACACTGCTGGACTGGCAGCCATTTCGCTTGCTGGATACTGTCCTAAGGAGATACGAGGATATGGGGGGGAAATTATGCCTTTGTTTGTGGGGTTGCAGATGTAGAGGGTAATTTTGAAAAAACTTTCTGGAGAAATTTGGTCATATAAAGTAAAATAAACATGTAGTCATCCATGTCTGAACAATCATGATCCTAGGCATATAAACCTACAAAGGATCATGAAGGGATATATTCGAGTATTTGCAATAGTGGCAGGAAATTGGAGGATAATCAGGTATCTTTTCTCACAGAAGTGAGAATGGAGTACTGTGCATTATTTAGCAAGAGACTAAAATGCAGTGTTTCACTCAGAGCTGAGTGAAACAAATCTAAGAGGAAAATAACACCCATAATAAAATAACATTTGCATGATTTTAAATCCACACATCCATGACTGAGCTGGGTGCTCTATGAGAAGGTCACGGCTGAGTCATGACTAATCCTTTCTTTCTCTTGAGATTTTTAATCCCAGGCTTAGAAAAAGTGGGGCTGACCTTATCAGTGGAACAGTGCCAATCGGATTTATGATCTTTGGTGACCGTCTTATTCTCACTGTGAGGACTGGACAAAAGGAGAAAGACAGTGTGTGGGGAGAGAAAAGAATGAAGCAGAGCAAAGAAGAAAAAGAAGAGCAGTGGGCAGCAGCCCAGACTCTGCCCCAGGTGGTGTTCTTGCAGCATGGTCAGCCCATCCCTCCTAGGCTTCCCACCGCCCTTTGGCCTGTGTGTAGGCTCCGCTGTGGTTTATATGGGCTCCAGCTGATCTCTGTTACTTCCTTCCAACCGAATGCATCGCCTGCTTCCTGAGTCGGCCGTGATGGGTTTATGCACCAAGAGGAACCAACGCTTCAGCGCTGTGGATGGACTGCTGGCGCAGAAGTAGAGGGCTGAGTCTCCTGGTTCAGAGGACTGGATTTCCAAGCTGCAGGAGGAGTTTTTGGGGTACTCAACTGTGAATCGCTGCTTGACCATCTCGATTTGCTCAAGAACTTCTCGGTTCAGAAAGTAAATCAAGAACTGAAGCTCTTTGTTGGGCTTCTGTTGATACCAGTAAACAGCGGTATGTCCTGTGGTGGGGACACAGTTCATCTTTGCTTTCTGTCCTTTTGTTTTGACAAGATGTCCTGGAGTCTGGATGACTTCAGCAACAAAAGAACCTGCAAGAGAAGGAGGCAGAAGTTATGGACTAGCCCAGGAGGGCTGGCTAGGAAAGAGGCTTGGATCCAGGACAAGGAGCTATCTTCTGAGCTCAGGACTCACCTGCTCCCAGGAGACAAAGCACCAGGCAGCAGAGGACACTCGTGCCCATGGTCACATTGGAGTAGCGAAAGGATGAGGCTTTTTCATTCCCTATCAGCGACTTTCTTGTCACATGATCCCTTTGTGACTCATAATCAAGGTGTGAGTGGTAAAACCCTCTATGATATTGGAAGGAAAGCTTTCATCCTGATGTAACAAATACAACTGGTTTATATTTTATTCATGTGGAAGCATCTTGCAAAATTCTATTTTTACTAACATCAACCAGATAGACATATTTCAGAAAGTTTGAAAATAAGCAAAATAACAAAATAAAAACACTATACTACTGCTGAGTAATGATTACACAGTGAATGCCTTAGTGAAAATCTTTGAAGATATTTTTTCTCTTTCCCTCTGTATGTGTGTGTGTGTGTGTGTGTGTGTGTGTGTGTGTGTGTTATATTTGGACACATTTTTGGTTAAATTTTTTTAAGTGTGCTTTCATAAACTTTTATTCCATTGAACAATCATCCTTCCCTGTTATTGCATTTTTATCTTCTTCGATAACTCAGTTTTTATTCAAAGTTTCACAGTGTTCTCATAAATGTCCTTTACTGCYAATTTGCTCAATTTCTAGCTCAAGGTCGCGAATCATTTCTGGCTATCAYCTTTTAGTATCTAATTAAATTTTAGAATAACATATCCCTGCTGTTAGTGTTGTTTTATGATTCTGAGACTAGCCACTGCTTTGGAAATACTTTACGTTCTAGCTGTGTCTGATACCTTTGAGCTTGCTCTTTTACGACATTTATTGTACATGATCTCTCTTTCTCTTCCCTGATTTCTGTCACTGTCTATTTAACATGGTGCACTTGTTTTTTTCGTGTGATATTTTTTTTCTTATTTTCTTCTTCCTCTTTCCTATCCCCATCTTAAGTAATTTTAAGAGCTTAAGTATTTCCGTGGATTTCTACTTACTCTCTGAATAGTTCAAAGAAATTGAACTATTCGATTTCTCCATGTTAAAAATGATATCGAATATGCAGACAAGTAGTTGATAAGATACCAGCAGAATGAACCCTGCAACAAACAACTTGCTAAAGGAAAAAGAAAAGTCACCAGAGTCTTTGAAGTCTCATGTTTCTTTCCCCAGATCCATTCCCATTTTCCAACTCTATGAAGTGTTCCAGTTTATCTTTCTTTGAGTCTCTGACATTTTATTACGTAGGAGTATAACTAAACAAACTCTATTTTATGCTTTAAAACTTYACAAGATGGGACAATGCTGTACATTTCTGAAATGTAATTTTCATTCACATTTGTAAAATCCAGTCATTTTCGTTTTAWTTCGTTAATTTTCACTGCTATAAAATTCTTATAGTAACATACCGTCATTTATTGATTCTTCTGTTAGTGTCCACTTGGATACTTTGTGGTGTTTTCCTGTTACTGGAGATATTACTCTGAAATTTTGGTCCTGGTTTTTATGTATAAGATTTTTCTCTAGGAAAGAATTTCTCAAGTGTGAAATTGATGGGCAGTGGGTGCACACATCTTGAACTTCACTAAAAAATAACAAATTATTTTCCAGAAATGGTCTAACCAATCCATATCCCATCAGAAATTCAAGAGGGTTCCTGTTGCTGCCTTGACTTGACAAAACTTTGTGTACTTTCTTTTTCCACTTTAGCTCTTCACGTGGGTGTGTATTACACTGGATTCTTAATTTGCATTTCCTCTAATTATGAAATTTAACAATATTTCCCCATTAATGATAAATTAAATTTCCCCTTTTGTGAAGTATTTATTTGTTGTTTTTTTCACCCATTTGTCTATTGAATTATCTTTTTCTGGTTGGTTTATGTAGAAACTAATTTATAGATTAGTTAAAAATTCTATATATTAGCCTTTCTTGAATACATAAATATAGAGAGGGACAAGGATTTGGGATTGACATATATTCACATCTWTCTATATAACTAATCTTTTCACTGTTCAATGATTAGTGGTGATAAATTGCACATGTTAATTCTGATACAGCCATTTTAATCAATCTGTTCTTTAGTGGTCAAGAGCTTCAAGAAATCCTTACCTGATTTGAGAACATGAAGATGTTCTTCTATAGTATATTTTAGAAGCTTTGTAATTTTATTATGTTCATCTATTCTTTTTGTTGAAATTGATTTGTGATACATTGTGATAAGTGTCCAGTTGGATTTTTCTTTGCACAGATTATCAATTTCCCCACTATCATCTGTTGAAAAATCTGTGATTCCACCTCTGCAGTTCCACCTCTGTGCATGTGTGCACACACACGTTTTCCCCACAGGTGTGTCTGTGTGTCCCTGTCCCTATATTATTGTGGTCTTATAATAACTCTTAAGTTGGTTAAATTGGATCCTCCCACCTGCTTCTTTCTTGTTGGAGCTCCTTAGCTAATCTTGATCCTTGGTAGCTTCATATAAATCTTAAATTCAGTTTATCAAGTTGTATCTAAAACCTATGGGGATTTTAATTGGATATATTTAATATATAAATTAATTTCTAATTCTGGAATTTTTTAAAAAATTGACTCTATTCACCTCTAAAGACAGGGTATATTTTCATTTATTTGAATCACCTTTAATAGCGACCCACATGGCTTCACACTTGTTTTTCCCAGAGAAAACTTTKAATTCATTTTTTTTAGTTTTCTCACTTTATTCCCAGGTTGTGCTCATTTGTAGCTCTGTTTACCTTGATGTTCTAAGTCAGTTGCTGGGGTGTTTGGGTCTGGAATATCAGAGCTGCAAGACTCCATTCCCTGAAGCACACCAGGTCGGAAAGACTCAGTGTGTTGCTCCCTCCCTTCCCCACACCTTTCAATGCAGYGGCACCCCTGCATACTTCCACCAGCCACTGAGGGCAGAGGGCAGACACACCCTCACTTACCGAGGCCATGCATTGCCTGCTTTGGTGGCCTTTTGGAATCATATCCAGGTCTCACATCTTTCTAAAGGCCTCATAAAGAGATTGCAGTTGAAAAGGTGAGTTCACTGGTGTAAACTAACAAGGGCATGTCACCCATGCAAACCTGTTGCTCAAGGTGCCTCTGTGGCTTCTTGACTTTACCTTTTTTTTTTTTCATTTTCTTACATGCACTAAATATTAGATCAACTTGATCCTCACTCTTCTCCTTACCTTGTTTTTACATCTCCAACCTTGGCATCTCCCCACCCTCAGCCTTTAGTCTCCCAAAGAATCAGAATACTACAGGCCATAGTTTCAACCACTTTCTCTCTGCTATCTAAGTCTATGTTCTGGAATTTGGGGGCCCCATTTTGAATCCCATATATGTGAGTTYTGTGGACTCTAAACCTCTCCTCTAGCTCCATTGCATCTTAGTTTCACATCTGTAAGGACAACATACTACTCCCAGTTTTCATCTGATTGTCTCAAGGACCCCTGAAACCTTTTGTCCCAGATGGGAATTGCTACTTTCAGCAAGGTCTAGTGTTGTTTGACTTTTTTAAGGGATCAATGTTATATGGAGACAATTAAAAAATTGCATGGATTCCCTGTCTACTAATGACAATCCAGTATTCCTCTCAAGCTTCTCTTTTGAGCAACAGGCTACAAGGGGCTTCCACACTCATATCAATGAAACCAGAAACTCAACTTGTTCAAAAAATTCATTCTACCTTTTCAAATTTGTTCCATTGTATTTATTTRACTCATATCAGTGAATCAGTTGTCTCCTCTTTCCTAATTGTTCTCCAAAGTGTTGGTTTCTTTAATCTGATTTTGCAGAAATCGTTCTCTGCCCAGCATGTCCTACTCACAGCCTCTGGTGAAGCTCTCATGAAGCCTCCTCTCTTTTAGCTTCYTCTGATCCAATGAGACAGAACCAAGCAGGCCCACCCCTGAGCTYCCACAGAACTTCTGATTATAGTACTATTTCATATTATATTACATTCTGTTTTATTCCATTCCATTATAATTATTTGCTTTTTTAAAATTAGACTGCTAACTCCTTAGAGAAAGGATTGGTTTTCTATTCAGTTTTGTATCCTTGGTATTTGGGAAAGTAGTAAAATCTTAAGAAAAAGCATAGATAAATCTAGAAGGAAAAGTTGAAAGATTTGAGGCACAAGGGGCAAAGTATACCCTCTGGGACTGCTCCAAGAGAGCTAGATTAAGAATCTAGCTGTGTGTGGTGGTACGTGGACATTCACATTCACAGCACCCCAATTCACAGTAGCCTAGTTATGGAACCAGCCCAGGTGTCCATCAACAGATGAACAGACAAGAAAAAACATGGTATATATTCACAATGGATATTTATTCGGCCATAAAGAAGAATGAAGTTTATGTCATTTGTAGAAAAATGGGTGTAACTAGAGAGCATTATGTTAAGTAAAATAAACCAGAATCAAAAAAGATCAAGGGTTGTATGTTTTGTTTTGTTTTGTATTTTTCCTCCTCTGTGGAGGTGAGAGAGGAAAAAAAGAAAAGRGGGAGGTTGGAGAAAGGGATCTCCTGAAGCAGGGAGACAGTAGAACAGAGGAAGGAGACCAGGGGGAAGGAGGAGAGAGAATGGGGAGTACTGGGGAATGAAAGTGACCAAATTAGGTTGCGTTCATCTATGAATGTGTCCCAATGACTTCCACTGTATGTTCTATGTTATATAATTATAAAGTACCAATAAAAAATAATTAATAAAAAAKAATTCAAGGATGCAGGGAATGACACTTAGCAGAAGAAAATTTAAAAAGAAAAGTTAGGAGTGCAGGTTTGTGCCCCTAGGGTCTATGGGGCACACCACTGCGGGGCGCTACCAGAACAGAGGGATGGGTAGAGCCACTGATGGGTGTGGGCCAACTTCACCATGAGAGAGCAGCCCTCCTCCTCTYAAGAGATGCCTCAGCCTTCAGTGATGTTTCCTCTTTGAACACTCTTTTCAACTGAAATCAGTCTCAGACCTTGCCCTGGGTCCTGTGGGTACCAGTACGTGGCATTATATCTCAAATTCTGTTTACGCYCAGGTTCACGTGGGCTCACAGATGGTTGCTATTACTAATTTCTGGA